GTTTCTTTTAATTTTTTTCTTTTACTATCAATCATAAATTTGAAAGGTGGAGTTTGCTTTGACAATGTTTTTTTTTTTTCCTCTGTCTTCCTGCTTCGTCTTGATAAAGAAAGTCTTTCACAGCACAACCTAGTGATGTTACATTTTAAAAAATATTTTTTTTTTACAAAGATGTTGAAACTTCTGTGTTATTTATTCTCAGTTTAACTTCACCAATGACAATCATAGCTTGCAAAGAGTCAATGGCAGTGTGAATGGTCTTGCCATTAACAGCAGGGAGAACAGAATAGACAGAATAAACTGATTGGCACAACTTGTATCTGATTTGCACTAATACTCTTTAAAAAAAAAAAAAAAAAAAAAAAAAAAAGCATGATTGACTGATGTTTTTTTATGGATTATCAACATTTTACAGGTTATTTAAAGCCAGAAAATATTTTTGGAATGTAAGAATTTTTTGAAGATAATGATTTACTGATACAAGTCCTACTAATTAACTCATATCTGGGGGGAGGGGAGAGAAGAGGTAGATTCACACCTTTCCCAAGGGTGTGTAAGTGAATATAACACACCTGACTGGAATTGGAGCTTGGCTCTCTGATTTCCAATTCTGAGTTGTTATCCATTACACCAGTTGTACATCCAAACTTACAGCACCTGATCACCCATCTAGGTACTGACCAGGCTTGACATTGCTTAACTTCAGTGATCATATGAGAACTGTTGTTTCAATGTGATATGGCCATAAGCAAAATGCCTATGCAAAAATGTTTATTTTTCAGTAACTTTATGCAACTGTAGGGATGCAAAAGGCGAATATCTTCCTTTGGGCAAGATGAATTCACAAGGGTAATGAGACAGTAAGTCATATCAGTTCATAGATTGATGAATTGCAGTTATTATCTAGACTGGAGAAGATGGATATCACAAGCTCACAGTAGTAGGTTGGACAGAGGAAACCACATGGTTTCAACAGGTACACACAGGATACCACTGGCCTATCCATTATCCCTTCAGGAAATATTGCAAATAAAACCCTCTTGGCTTTTGCCCCCTTTCACACTGCTTGTTGTATTCATATGTTATAACTTTCATCCAATTAAAGGCAAAATTGAAATTTCAAAGATTTAAATTATTACAATTCATATTGTTTTTTTTTATAGAAAAATCTGATCATGGCTTCAATTTGTAATATTTTTGGTTAGTTCAGGTTACTGAATTGAATGATATTAACCTTTGTTGAGTCAGGTTATTTAACATCAAATATAAAACAAACCACAATGAATTAATAGGTGGACACAGGTCATGGGTTTAAAAAAAATAAAATGTGGACATTAATCAGGTTTATTCCAGTACTTGGAAGGTAGCCTCCTTTTAGCAGGGGTAATATTTTTGGCAATTATTGGGACCAGCAACATAAATTATACTATTTCATATCAACATCTTTTGTGATTAGATATACAAAATGTGTCTTGTTCACAGTTGTACATATGAACAGAAAAATAACGTTTTGTGCGTTACAAAGCAATGGACATTGGCATACAATATATGGGAAATTGTACAACATCTATTATACAGCCATTAAATTACTAATGGACTATTTTTCTAGGTTATCAGATGTAATCAACGAATTGCTAAAGAGAAAATCACTGATATGGAGAGAAAAAAAAAGACAATTTCTTATTTCCACCATTGTTGTAATAAAAACAAGTATGTAACTAGTAGAGCATCTTATGCAGAGTCCAAACTGCATGGTACATGTAGTACATTGGTATGCAAGCTAACCTCACAGTTCATTTCTAGAGTTATGTAGCATGCCATCTCATCTATAGATTCTAGTAATCTATTGGCAATTCCTCAGTAAAGACCCCAATGCTGCATAACAGAGGAAATCAATGATACAATTTTTTTCATTTTTTTTTTGTGTTTTACTTGCTTTATTTCAGGGGGAAAACATAGTAGGCATTGTCGAGAGAGAGAGAGAGAGAAAAAAAAGTAGTGTGCCATCTCATTTCTGGATTGTAGTCTATCGGCAATTTCTCAGTAAAGATCTCAACGCTGCATAATAGAAAATCAATGAGAAAGTGTTCTTCAGGTTTTTTTTTTTCTTTTTACTTGCTTTATTTCTGGGGGAGAACATAGTAGGTATTGCTTCCTGGGAGAAATGAGAGAGAGAGTGAGTGAGATGTCAACAGGCAATCTATCTTCTCCATGTAGTGGCTTGTCTGTCTCTCTATTTCTGCAAAATTACTGATATGGAGAAAAAGAAAGTAATTTCTTACTTCTGTCACTTTTGTAATAAAAACAAGTATCATATTTATCAGCACCAAGGATGCAGTTTTTTTCCTGAAATAAGTCTTGAAAATGTAACATGCATCCTTGAGGATGAAGGTTAGGGTTTTTGTAGGCCTATGCTAACTCCAGAGGAAGGTTATCTATGTCATACAGTAAACTGAATTCCTGTATGTGACCTTGTAATTAAATTTATAAATTATACATCACTTAAGATAATACATAAATAAAGTATCATAAAAATATATATATGAATCGAATGTTACCTGACTGACTAGAGTAGGGGGAGCTAACAGACTAGCCTTATTAAGGAAGTTAAACACAGGTAGCACCAATCCGTCTCAATAAATTTCCTAATTATCAACTGCCAAACTAAGTCACACTCAATTGTCATGACATGATAAACATTAACAGGATTTCTCTATTTTGTTTGCACTATTTTTATCATTTTTGTGTTTTCCAATCTTTAATTTTCGTATAAAGAAAAAAAAAAAAAAGAAAAGAAAAAAAAATTGCACTTAGGGAGAATCCTTGATGCCGACAAATACAACATGTTATTAGTAAAGCATCTTATACAGAGCCCATACTGCAGGGTATATGTAGTACATTTTGGTATGCAAGCTAGTCTCACAGGTCATTTCTATGACAGAATATGGAAGGGATCTTTTTTTTTAATATTTGTCAAGGGAGGAGAAAGAGAAGAAAAAAATAAGAGAAGAAAAAAATAAGAGAAGAAAAAAATAAGAGAAGAAAAAAATAAGAGAAGAAAAAAATAAGAGAAGAAAAAAAAAAATAGAAAAGAAAAAAAAAAAGAGAAAAAAAAAATAAGAAAAAAAATAAAGAAAAAAATAAAGAGAAAAAAAAATAAGAGAAGAAAAAAATAAGAGAAGAAAAAAATAAGAGAAGAAAAAAATAAGAGAAGAAAAAAATAAGAGAAGAAAAAAATAAGAGAAGAAAAAAATAAGAGAAGAAAAAAATAAGAGAAGAAAAAAATAAGAGAAGAAAAAATAAGAAAGAAGAAAAATAAGAGAAAGAAAAAGGAAGAGAAGGAGAAGGAAGAGAGGAAGGAAGAGAGGAGGAAAGAAGAGAAGGAGGAAAGAAGAAAGAGAGGCAAAAGACAAAAGAAAGGGACAAGTGACAATTTGTTTTTTGATGGTTTGATTCATTTTCTATGGCTTATCAACCCTTTTTAGATTGTAAAAAAATTTTTTTTTTTACAAGATAATAATGGATTTTTGGTACAAGTCTTATTAGCTGAGTGGAGAAGAGATGGATTTATACCTTTCCCAATATCTGACCATCTAAAGAATGGCCACAAGTTGTCTGGATGATATTACAGAAGCTCACTGACTTGGGATATGAGACTTTACAACATACACCATATAACCCTGATCCTCTGACTACCACTTTTTCAAACAGCTTGACAATTTTTTTAAGCCGAAAGACATTCCATTGAAAAGAAGATGCAGAAAATACATCCAAAGATTTCTTGGTGTACTTTAGAGTTTTACTGTAAAGACAGAAATAAACTTGAAACTGAATAGCAGAAATGTATAGATGTTCAGGATCCCTATTTTGATGGATTTAAACAGTTTAAATACATTCATTCAGGAATAAAAGTTGGTCCTAAAATTGGACATTATTCTCCAAACAACCTAAACAAGTGGTGACGTGGGGGGGAGGGTTGAGATAGCATTTCCAATCAAATCATAATTGTTATATTTATTGCTTTGTTTTGAGCACAGCATTTTTGAAGAAGCACAAATAATTTTATCTGATTGTAAGGACGCATATCTACACTTTAAAGACTGAATCATTATCACATGCAAATATATAAAATATATAGAACCTTATAGTTCTGGGCCACTTTTAGAAAACTTAAAAGATTGTGAAAATGAAGTACCTATATAGAAAAATATACAATCCTAACATAAAATTTCTGTTTAACCCATTGTACCCTAAAACATTGTAGGGAACAACATTGTAAGAAGTTTAGTATTGAGTGTCCTGAGAGACATTTCTACTCATTACAATTTAAATTTGTTTCATGAATAATTTGCAAGGAGACCAAATACAAATTAGGCTTCTTACTTTTTCTATTCTGAATATAATTTAACAGACTTAACTTTCTCTGAACAAATACAATTGATTGAATTAGCAAAACATTCTTTCTTAAAAGACAATCAGGAAAATACTGAACTAAATTTGGAGTACGAAAAAAAAAATATATATATATATATATATATATATGTGTGTGCTGTTGGTTGTCAAATTTAGGAATAAGGACAGATAATTTGGCTGCCCTCAAAATGGATAAGCATAAAGGCCTAATAACATGTTTCATTCTATAGATTGGTGAGGAGAATGATAGAATACAGAAGGGATTTTTTTAATATTTGTCAAGGGAGGGAGAGAACAGAGAACGGAAAGAGAGAACAGAGAATGGAGAGAGAGAGAGAACGGAAAGAGGAGTTTAGTATTGAGTGTCCTGAGAGACACATTTCTACTCATTACAATTTAAATTTGTTTCATGAATAATAAATGAAGAGATAAAGAGTGAGGAAGAGGAAAAGAGAAAGCGAGAATTTTTTGAGCAATAATTAAATCTGCAATAATAAAAAATATACAGGAAGAACTAATAACATTTTCATTCTACAAATTCTTGAGGATAATTATAGAATATGGAAGGGATCTTTTTTTAATATTTGTCAAGGGGAGAAAGAGAGGAAGGAAAGAGAAGAAAGGAGAGAGAGAGAAAGAAGAGAGGGCAAGTGATAATTTGTTTTTTGATGGATCGATTCATTTTCTATGGCTTATCAACCCTTTTGAGACTGCAAGAATTTTTTTTTTTTTTTTAGATAATAAGTGATACAACTCTTATTAGCCGAGGGGAGAAGAGATGAATTTATACTTTTCCCAAGGGTATTTTTGCATAAGTGAATATAACGAACCCAACTGGAACTCAGCTTTCCGATTAATAATTCCAAGTAATATTTATTATACCATCAACACATCCAAGCTTACTGCAGCTGGTATTCCCAAGCAGTCATCCATCTAAGTACTTACAAGGCTTGTTGTTGTTTAACTTTGTGATATGGCTGTAAGCCAGCATAAAGAGTAGAGAGAGAGGAGAGAGAGAGGAAAGAGAGAGGAGAGAGGAAAGAGAGAGGAGAGAGGAAAGAGAGAGGAGAGAGGAAAGAGAGAGGAGAGAGAAAGAGAGAGGAGAGAGGAGAGAGAGAGAGAGAGGAAGAGAGAGGAGAGAGAAAGAGAGAGAGAGAAAGAGAGAGTAGAGAGAAAGAGAGAGTAGAGAGAAAGAGAGAGTAGAGAGAAAGAGAGAGTAGAGAGAAAGAGAGCGAAAGAGTAGAGAGAATTTTTTGAGTTTTAGAAATGATATAGGCAATAATAAAAAATATACAGGAAGACAAATGTTCATTTGGCTGATTATTTAAATATAATTGGTTTGTTTATCTTTTGCAAGTTCACAATATCTTAAATATAAGGAAAACAAGTTTATTGAAGTTTTAATTGTATTTGTTGCATGTTTTCTAAATAGCCAGTTATTTATATTGGCCTTCAGAAGACAAAAAAAAACAACTTTTTTTAGTTGGTCTTAAGAGACAATATTTAGGCATTTGATAGAGAAAGGCAGAATAAGGATTTTAAAAAGAAAGTTGTTTTTCGTTGTATATATTATTCTTAATAGTTGTAGGAATCTTTTCTTTCTCAAAAAGGCAATTACTTTAATAGTCAACCATTGCAGCCACATTAAAGAAACAGAAAACTGATGAGAAAAAAAAAAAAAAAATCAGTTGCCATTAATTGATCAGTTTTTCTCCACCCATGCCAACGTAAACTGCCATTTATTTCCAAATATATCAATTCTCATTGGAGACTGACATGCAAAATATAAACAAAACACTATCTCTATAGAATTGATAAAAATAGACATCAAGAATACAAATCGTCAAGGAGATCTGGGTTCATACTTCCTCTAGACAGGGGATTCTCAAGCCAGGATACATGTACACAAGAAAAATCTGGAAGGTCATTACACAATCAAGTCTCACACTCTCTGCACTTTGTTCATTTTTATGATTAGAAGTTCATAAATCTTGTCTTTCTCTAATTACTCCCAATAGAAAGAGACAATTTGCTTTTTGTAGTCTTCTTGCTTCATCCCTCTTATGCTTAGCTCCAAATGACCCCAGCAGTTGACCTTGATGGGCTATTTAATACCAAAATGTTTTTTAAATTTTTGCATCTGTAAGCATTTAGTAGGTGAAATTTGTGGTGGAAGAAACTTACACCTATGCAATCTGTACAGTATAGAGACCTTACCAATAAGGTGTGTAGTTGACCTTGGGTACCCTAACAAAATCTTCTCAAAGGGACACCAACAAAGTCAGGCAGAATGAAAGGATATGCAGGAGAAAAGACTTGACAACCTCAGCTCTAGACATTAATACCAATTTGGCAATTAGATTACTTATGGTCAGTATTCTTCTGTGTGCCATGTCTCTTCAGAACTTGGACAATCAAGGCTTTTGACAACATCATATCCTTTGTGCCACACTTTCTAATCCCCATTCTGTCAACCATTTACAGAAGCTTGTTAGGTAAATTAGTGTCAAAGTCTCCAATCCTTGTTTCTTTATTATGTGCTCTAAAAATTTACAATTGTCTCTTTCTGGTTCTAAGTCTAAGTGTCTTTCTGTTTCCATTTTCCTTAAAACTGTTGTTGCCTTTAACTTAATTCCTACATATCTATTTATATTAACACACACAAATAAATATATATATATATATGGTTGGAAGAAAAGTTCTTGCTATTTGTAAAGCATTAAATTTATTTACAAACTGTGAGTACATTCCTTTCAACCAGGTACATATACATATATAATGACCAATGAAAGTTTTTTTAAGGATTTTTTTATATTTTGGATTATTTTATTGGTTTCAGGTACATATATAGATATAAATTATCCAATGTCTTCTTGGCCATTGCATATAATACTTGAAAATGAAGAAACTGACATCATAGCATAAAATTAAAAATGGCTAACAATATCTGAAAAGTGTCGGACATTTGATAATTTGTATCTAAACATTACTACATACACACACATTTATATATATATATATATATATATATATATATATATATATATATATATATATATATATATAAATAAAGTAAAGTTAACAAGTCCATTGGTATATAATCCAAGTGGATCCTAGTAATACAAAATATTAAAACTGATCCCAAAAAAGAGCTCAATGTATTTATTATTACAGAGCAAAAATTAATGTAGAATCAAATCCCAAATCACCTCATATGAGGAATAAGTTTTTTTCGACAGACGAAAATATAATTTGTCTATCTTAACCCCCAGTATGGACTGAATTTGTGTCAGACAGAAATTTAACCTTTAAAAAAAAAAAAAAAAAAAAAATGAACAAACAAAAACAAAAAAAACAACCCCCCAAAAAAAAAAAAAAAAAAGAAAAAAAAAAAAAAAATACCAAACAAAAACAAAACTCAGTCTATAGTGGGTTTGATAAGACAAGACAAATTATATATTTCGTCTGTTGAAATAAGTTTATTTATATGAGGCGATTTGTGATTTTATTTATATATATATATATATATATATATATATATATATATATATATATATATACACACACACACACACTAAACCAAGAAAATGATGCAAAATATAGAAAAAGATTTTTTAAAAAATATTTAACAAAGAACTTTTGTTGGTTTTTAATCAAATAAAAAATTGTTGTCCAAATACACCTGATATATATTTTAAACATTTTATTAAATATGACTGACAAATGTCATCAATTCAAGTTTTTAGTGTCTTTTTCTAATTAGTATAGATGTTGCCATCAAGTTGAATCAAGGTTAGAAAGAAACAATTCAAAGTCCCTAGTGTTTTTGACTCCAGTAGGTTCAACCATTATTAGTCATTTTTTCTTCCTTTTTTGGAATAATGTTCACGCTGTACAAGGGCCAAGAGCCACTCGAGGTAGAGTATTACAGAGTATGAGGATATGTGGGGAAGATAACAGTTAACCCTAGACTTGAACAGGTTAAGATTGCAATGACTGGGTAAGAATCCTCTTAAGAGTCTGTTCCACAAGGCAGCTGCTCACGTGAAACTTACACCTCTCCAATGGAATACAAAGGGAATGAGGATGATTCACTACAATGATTGATATGAAGGTTAGAATTAATGAAACTAAGGAATGTAGCTTGTCTGAACACTTTATGGAAATAGTGATAGAGCAGCAAGAGGCTTGCAACATTTAGTCTCTGGGAAAGGCATTGTAGGGTGAAAAATATTCACTAACAAGGATTCGAAGATGCTTTTGAACTATCAAGACAGGAAATGAAATTTATGACAGCAGTACTCCATTTTTGGCTCTTGTAAAGATAGAGGATAGCAAGAGGAGTCAGCTACTTACAGGAGCAGTACAGGGAACTGGCCATTTTTGCAGCGTCTTTTGTGATGGATCATTTGTACAAGTTCCACTTGAGGTCTGGGTTGAGCTTAAGTCGCAATAGATGCTCAAGGTATGGGGGCCTCACTGAGAGAACATCTGTTCATCATGATTCAGAGTCTGCTCAGTGATGATGGAACATCACTAGTTTGATTTTTAAGGCATTGAATGTGACCAGCCAATTTTTTCCCCCACTGAGCTGTTAAAGCTAGATCAAAGGAGAGATCAGCAGCCAGACTCTAGTCATCTACAGTTTTCCAGAACATTTGTTATCAGTGTACAATTTCAAAAATTCTGATTAATTTAAATCTTGGCATTGTTTTTTTTTTAAGAAACACTTTAATTTCAAATGTTTTTTCTATATATAAAATTCTGCGAGTTTTGTTAGTCTGTCTGTCACAACCTCTAAAATAGCCATACCTTGACTGATGACTGCTTATATTTCTGAGATGTGGTATCATGTACACTATTTACATTTTTTCAAACTATTGTCCTCATCACCATATTTATTATGGGTATTGAACTCACACTCTTTGGGTCCTGTCACTGGATCTAACCAATGCCTTTATCCACTGTGCCATGTGTCCTTGAGGACATCTGTCTATGAATTTCTGAGTATTATAAACCTAATGTCTTTATCAACCCCCTTTTTTCTTTTTATTAGTGCTCATATTGCTAACAGCAAAAATTGCAATATAAATTGCAAACAAATCAGCTTATTCAAATTTTATCAATTGTTTTGTGAAATTGAACAAAATGTAGAGTTTGTAAATCTCAACAAAAAATTTTAGCAACAACTTCAACAATACTAAATACTGTGAGGATTTCAACATGCTGACGTGTGTTACAAAAAATTCCAGTACACTAAAATGACAAGGACAACAAGAACCTTCAGCAGCAGCTGGACAAAAAAAACAACAAAAAAAACAAGAATTAAACTTAAGCTTTACTAAACAAGCCATAAATCCTACAAGAAAAGAAAAAGTTATGCCAATTCAATACTTAACATTTTGTGTCACTTTTGTTGGCTTCAATTTTGAGTGCATCCACTTAATTTTACTATCATTTTCAGAAGCAGGCAGATCTTGACATTGGTGTTGTACATATATGAATATGATAAATGCATCATGATTAAACTTCAGCTAATGGAGTTCAGCTCTTCATTTGCATATCAGAGTACATATTATGTATAAGCAATTACTACTTTGAGGCATGGGGAAGATATGGATTTATTTGTAAGCCTTAAACACTTACAGCACTTGTAATTATCTATCATATAAGCATTTCCAATAAAAAAAATGTAATGTTTTTAATTGAAAATGTATAAAAACTGATCAAGTATGGGAAGATATTGACTGATGATAATAAGACATCAATTATTAAATAACAGCAGCAAGCTTTTGAGAAAGAAAGGCAGATTCCAGCCACATTATATTTGGCAATAATTTGATTTCAAAACACTTGATAAAGTTTCTTCACAGAAAGTAGAAATAAAGTGATATGTATAGACATTTAAATTTGGATGTAACTGTAGGTTCAAGTATGTGAGTCCTGTGACCCATTAGGGTCATAGAGGCACTACATGTACTGCAACCATGACAGCAGTGGTGTATCTAAGGCAAGAGAGCCCAGCCTGCTATGTTATTTAACTTCTAGATGGAGGAAGACAGATTCATGCCTTTTATAAGGGTATTAGTGCAAAATGAACAAAGCAGAATTGAGCAGAAATTGAACCCAGCACATCTAATTCACTTTCTGTGCCAATATCCATCATGCTTTGTGCATCATTGGGTACAAGTGAAGGAGCTAAATAAAACAAACACACACATTGTATGCTCGATATTGTTTAGTTTATTTACAAGATCAGCTGATATTGCTTTGCAGGCGCATATTAAAACAATCAATATATTGGAAATATGT